AGACCAGCCTCCCTGGGATATTTCAAACTTCACATTTTCCCATTAAAAAAGAGAGCATTTTTCACAGCTCTCAATTGTTTGCCACTAGAGATTAAATGTCTGAGAGCTGGATTTGGAAAAGAGAGGGATCAGGTGGAGAAAAGGAGCTAATTCTTTGTTCCGAGCCTGAGCGGAATACGCAAGCACACTGTGTATATTTTTAACGCGTAGATTTAGTCTTTCCACCCTCCAACTATCCATCTCACATATTATAGAAATGTGCTGTAGATGTCTACAGAAATGCACTGAAACTCTCATATTGTTTTTTTATGACCTTTTCATGGTGGCACACAGGGGATGCAGAAGCCTCTCTGGTCACCACAGACGGTGTGATCAGTCTGCTGTTGTCAGAATGGCCATCACACAACAAGATCGGGACACACAGTAACCACTTACCTTGAAACCAAGATACATGCTTGTTTTTTTTTTCCCCAAATGTTGCACTGCATTACATCATTGGGTTTTCTTTTATTTTTATGGTCACTGGGTGTATTTATTTATTTGTTCGTTTGTCTATTTATCAATTAAATATTGTTCTTTCAACTTATCATTAATATTTAATATTTTTTAAATGTTTAAAATATCATCTTGCTGCATAAAAAATGTCAATTTGGGAAAAAAAATTACTATCGGTATATTATTAGATTTGTAATGTGCACAGGTATGTGAAAAAAACTAAAATATGTCATGTTAAATAACCAGGAAAAGATTGTACTTTGGCATTTTTTAGTGGACGTCAGATGAAATTTCTTGTTGTCTGTCCAAGTTTGTATTGAGAGTTCACAACAGCATCCTGGCCTTTAGGCTGCCTGCCAGAGACAAAGCACTGTGCTGTCAGTCCACCGGCTCATTCAACACTTCTCTTTCACTCTCTGATAAGTGGCCTGTGTTTCTTAATCGATAGCCTATATTCTGAAACATTAGTGCAGTCAGGGGTGGCCTGAAGCATCTGAGGGCCAGTTTCAAGAGCTAATTTGCCCAATAGTAGTATTAATATTGTATTTTTCTATAGGGCATTCCAAAATATATAGAATAAACTATAGTAATATTAATATTTTTAGCGTTATTTCTATAGTAATTCTTTATAGTAATACTATAGGTTTTGTTTTGTAAGGGCAGTCTCCCCTACACAGGGACACCAGCAGTCAGTCACAGTTGGGGTGCTGAGAGAAGGTCAATCAGAATGACGTCTTAGTAAATAGTGCACAATATTCAATGTTTTCTTATTAATTTGAATGGACAGGATAACATATCAAATAGTTATTAAAACAATTTTTATCATTTTGAGAACATGTTACACACAGCAGACAGCAGACTTAAGCACCAACATACTGTTTTTCAAAGCAGCCACAGCAACTACACAGTCAACAACAGGAACGAATGCATAAGGACTGCAGGGAGATGAAGAGGGAGAAACAGGCCCTGGACGAGAGAGAGAGATGTGACCCACGTCCATTTATAATAATGCACAGTGAGGATACAGACGTTTCATAGAGGTCTGTCACTGTTAACAGAGACTCCATCTGCGGTGTAGTTAATATACCTCACTAATAAAGACTAACATTAGTTTGTGATCAAAGAAAGTTTTTACATCCACACTTCTGTCCATATTTGCACGCCCCTTCTCTCTCACTCTTTTATTATTAATTGATGGTTTTTATAATGCTTAGTTTTAGAGGTGCTGAGGGGGTTGCAGCACCTCTTCTTCCCGTGTTGCTATTGAGTGAGTGAATTTAAGTGGGGAAATTATTTAATTCTTGCACATCAGTCGGTGCCCTTTGGAGGGCGGAGCTCATTTCAATTGAAACAGGTGA